GGAGCACGCGCTGGGCTGTTCAAATCACGGACAAACAGTATCCCACAGCTGTTTATGTTTTTGAACCCATTTTGCACTGAGAAGCATTTTTTGAAAAATGTATTGATAGCAATGTTGAATATTATTACACAGGAAAAAAACACATAAAATAATTACATCGTGACGCCTCTGCCTTTGTAAATGGAGGGACAGTAACTGTGTGTATATGTAAGCGTTTAAAAACTGAAGATAGTCAGATTAACAGTATTTTGTCTCTATCTGCCATTCTGCAATTCATCTCATGTAAACAATAACGTGGCGTACAGCGTGACGTGAAAAAAAGCACATACCTTTGACGTTGCGTGACGAACTCTGTATTCCTCGTCCACACGTAAACGCAAAAAAGGAGTCTTAAAAAATCTCAGTTTCGGTGATTCCAAACGACGTTTACGTGTGGACGAAACAGCTGCGTTTCGGGGGGCGAACATTTTTCTTGTAAAACAAAGGGGGGCCTAGCAAAAAGAGCTTGGGAACCACTGTTTTAACTAATAAAAGCATGGATTTGTGTTCCATTGTTTTATGTAACTGCTGGATTGCACCACCCACGCTACAAGTTCACTGCCATTCTGACTGTGCACAGCCATGTTTGTTTCACTTGATAGAACAGACCTATTAGGTAGCTATTTTATCCTGTTAAAAAGCAAAAGACATCAATTTTGTGTCTAAGACAACTCATTACTAACCCTCATGCAGTACGTGATAAGCACAAGAAACCCTTCTTGCATGACATTAGCTCCTTAACTTACCCATCACCAATCCATTCCCACCCCTTTCTTAAGTTAAAAAAAAAAACCCTCTCCTCTTGAAATACGCTATTGGTCCATCGGTTTGGATCAGAAGACATGTAACCCTCTCAGCTTTCGATGTGTGTGTTTGTGCGTGCGCGTGTGTGTTTGTGAGTGTGTGTGTGTGTGTGTCTTTGTGTATGTGTGCTATATGGATGGTCTCTCTTCTCCACACGCCCTGCCTTCCTTTCCTGAGAAACTGACTCAGCAGCCACTGTCAGGTCTGCTTAATTTTGTCATGCTTGACTTCCTGCTACCTGGACTCTCATCTGCCAAACCCCCTTAATCCACTTGTCACTCACAACAACAAAAAGCTCGGGATCTGCTCCTTGAATGAAGATAGGGAGGTGGAGCATTGGTGGGTGTATAAGAGAGTTATCCTGCAGATTTTAGTGCAGGTGTGCAAGCACAGGTGCATTGCAACTGCTGTGGGAATTTTAGAGTTATGGGGATTTCAACACTATTTCTAGCCATTACCCAGAATAAGGCAAAGAATCTGTCAAAGAATTTGTCAATACATATATATATTAGGGGT